GTTTGTGAGAGACGGAAGTAGCAGTTGAATGAGCATTGATGGGAGCAGAAGTGATTGGCTGTTGGTGTATTATTGTAAGGGTCGGTTAATGGTGCAGGTAGAGGGGGCTGTGTCATTGTGCTTCTTCTGGGGAGTCCTGTCTCGAGGTCATAGCAGCAGCACGAGTCCATTCTGGAGGTGAGAAGCACCTTATCCTGCCTGGTATTACATTTTTTTTCTCTTCTTTATTGAGTCTTTTAAGCGTTCGACTAACGGACGATACATGTCATTACGGCTATGACTGGTTGGCAAATTTTAGGGCATTGGAAGTTGTGTACACGCTGTAGATGGGAGAATCACTTTCTACCCTTTGGATAAATGTCGCAACTAACGTCTACTTTTGTCAGTTAATCTATCTACCTATTTTTCATAAGTTTTATTTGAGATTTAGTCATTATTAAGCATGAAAACCATTGGAAACGTCCATCGCCTATCCCTAAAGGTATCGGTTGTGAACACTTGATACCTCTACTTTTTGCTGGGTGGATATTTTTCAGATGCAAATGACTGGACAAGGCTGAATCCGGGACAAAGGGACAGGAAGTTATAGGCGCAAAGCCCTACCGCCGTACCCTTTGTTGCATGACTCAGCTTTAGGCGAGTGTCCCGATGAATGGTGATGGAAAAGCGTGATAACCACCAGAACAGAGCTCCAATTTTAGCAGTGTCTAAAAAATGGATCGGTGACGCAACTTTCCAGTCACATGGATACTGGGTGACTGACAGAATTGATTGGTAGGTGTCTTCTAGCGGCCTTATTTACGTGAGTTTGATGGGTTAACTTGAGGTTTTGGTAACAAGCTGCTTGTGGCCTCTACCATCAACTGGTCATAACGGAGCATTTTGCTCTTTTTGCTTTTGTACTAGTCTCATAGCGAAGCTTAACGTCTTTCTGCAATGTCAGAGTTCTGTCAAGTCTAAGTGATTTTTCTTGAAGTTAAGAGTATCGACATAAGAGCATATGTTTCGTGTTTTTCGTGGCGAAAGGGCACGTGATGTTTCAAGCAGTTTGAAGTGGCGGTACCTAACTTTCATTTTGCCACTTTAGTGAATAGGCAGCTTACTTCTGTAATTTTCCGCAACTTTTCTTTTACCAATCCATCTATTTTGGGTTCCCTTATGGAGATTTCACGTCTCCCAAAAAATTGGAGCGTACGCACTCACAGTAGATAAATGGAAATCTCATTTATTGCGTGTTTTAGGATTCTGTGTTTGGAATTTTGGCATGGAACTAACATCTCCACTCCTCAAAGCCACGCCTGTAGTACTCGGCATCTGTCACATTCCATTAAATCTGCAAAAAGCTGAACATATTTATTTTCAAAGGAGGTAATCATAGTAACGGAAATTGATTGCCTCCTGCTACATTTCGCTCCACCTTTCATAACACATAAGTTTCTTGCATTTGATGGTTGATAGAATGGGTGGATCTCGTTCGGCAGTCCATTCCGTCCATGTTGGTGTGTTAACGTGCCAATCCCCGCTCTCATGGTTACAGCCGCCAAGTCTTTTTTGTGTACTAATTTCACCATTGATGGTCAATAAGGTCTCGGAGAAGGGAGTCTTAGTGATAGTGTGAAATCCTGCCCAAGACAAGAAGAAAAGTTCTGAAGGAAACCTAAAATGCAAACTTGGAGTCCTCACCGCTCCGTATAAGTACCGGTTTGATTAAATTGGCTACTTGCTATTTGCATTTTGATTAGTCATCCGACTTTGATCTGAAAACAAATTAATTCAGTTTCCTGCCAGGTCGACCGTTTTTCTGTTGCAAAGGAAATTTTACCTCGATAAAACGTTTCCTTCTAAGTTGATTGGAACCCCAGCGTGTTCATAAAGTGTACGGTTAATTATGCTGCCCATTTAGGTTGTGAATTCCGCCTTTCGATCGACCATATTTCTCCGCAATTTTTGTTTCACTGGCTTAACTTACGTGCGAAGTCATGCAAATTAAACTTTCCATCAGTTTAAGCTCTTTTATATGCTTTCTATTTGTTCCATCGTCAAATGCATAGTATTAACGTTAGTGCACCAACTTAAATCGCCTTGAGTGGATTTATGCTAACCCGGACCGACTTGCAAAAGCGTCGTGAGATGCAATGCATCCCCTAGGGTACAACAACAACAACAACAATAAATCAGATTGAGCTTTTAACGCCCAGCGTTCGTTAAAATAATGTTAGCTAATTAAATCAGTGCTGAGTTGCGGTGCTGCAGCAGCTCGTGTGACTTGACAACAATGAAGAGCACGTACGAGAGAAGTCCCCCAAAAACAGTTTAATTTTGCTTTTGAGCTGCCATGCCAGTCCCCGTGTTAGATGCACCGCTACTCATGCAATATAAGTAGGTAGCCCATCTTGGTAAAATAACTTCTTATTCTGCACTGCCGTCTAGATTGGTGCTTAGAGGCTCTGATTTCCCACAGATTCAAGTTAGTTGCATTCACAAGTTCGCAACATTTACAACTTTTGTCCCAGTAAAAATTTGCAACCCACCTTCTTTCGTGCGAATGCACAGATCCGAAATTCGTCACAGACCTTAGTCACCTGCAAATTTTCCATGGCATGCCAAAACGAATTGAGTCCTTACAATCCGACGATTGGCTCTCGGACTTCCTCTTCCAATGGAGAGTCAGTTCGTTAACCATTGGCAACCAAGCCAATGACAAGCATCACCCAAATTGTGCACAATGGGGTCGCATCCCTCAGTACCAATACTTGCTTTCATTCACGCTGCAAATCTGAAAATACACCTTAGGCTAAGCTAACAACTCCAATTATTTAAAGTACGGCAGATTTTATCAATAAAATTCAATTGCACCGAACACCGATCCAAGTTCACTTCATGTCTTAGATGACCGAAATTCGCGAAACAGGGAACCACACTCTACATTCGAATCGCGATTAAATTCGCTTGCTCAGTTTAAAAACGAGTCAATGGAATTTTAAGTCATTCACTTAGGATTTGTCAGTATACAAGGATTGCAGGGATAGCTACACGCAAATGTGGACACAAATGACGATATAGGAATGGTTAAGATTTGATGAATGAATGAAAGGTATGCGTAATTTTTAATTCTTAGGAGGGATAACTATCCATAGGTGCATTTTTATATTAATTGTTCACAACAATGCGGCGTCAACATCGTTAGCATATAGCTCTTCTGTACACAGTTGAAGCAACTGAAAATCGGGACCCTAAGAAAATGCGCTGCACACACGGATGCACGAAAAGGAGTTGCTAAATACAGACACATTTGTCCCGACGATTCAATCGATGGGAGAGACCTCTGCTACCGTGGCTGACGGCGAGAGAGAGGAAAGGATGGAGCGTCGTCGTGGCTGGTGGTGATGATGTCGGTGGGGGTTGTTGCTACTAACAGGTGAGTGATGACGCGAAAGACCCTCCAGAGTGAATGGTGATCGTGGCGTCACTGTTTTACAGCACCCGCCAACCACTGGTAATGCATTCAGCGTCTCTAGCGGCCTTCCGATCTCCACGCTTCCCTGACTTCCCGTAACCGTGTTGTCCAGCGCAAGGCGTTTCCGTGTTGGGGAGGACGTTGAAGACGATGAGGAGGTCGAAGAAATAGACTCATCTCCACTTCCTCCAGCACCGCCGTCTTCAGCTAGAACTTCTACCTTAGCCTGCTTTTGCTGAAGTTGTTGGAGAAGCCATTCGTGTTGGCAGCACTGAGAGGCAGAAAGCCGTGCCCTAGAAAATTGGTAGTCATTCAGACCTCCGGAAGGGACGAGAGAGAAAGGATGAAGGAAGATGTAAAGAGGATCCTTACTTGGGATTGGATTTGATGAGAGAGCGGATAAAGTCGACAGCTATTGGCGAGACGATTTCAAACAGGTGCGAAGGATAATCAATCTTCATCTGGGTGATGTTACTCAGCGTCAGCGCCTTATTCTCCGCCAGAAAGGGAGACACACCGGTAAGAAGGAAGTAAGCCAACACCCCAACGCTCCTGTCAAAGAGGGATTATTTTGCTCGTATATCCGATGACCTTCACGTTTTATTGGTGATTGGAAACATTCGCTTACTTATTTGCTACTCTTGAAGATGTGCATGAAGTGTCGCTTAACCTTTACATACAAAATTCTCGAGTCGTAAACATTATTGCGTCTAATTTCTAGGCATCAACATTCTTTTAAGGAGTTCGTTATCAGCGTTACGAATATGAAGTTCCATAATTGTCACACTAATCTTTGCCCACAAAGTGGACTACCTGGACCCCTTCTTCTGTAGCAATGCCGATAGACTGGTTCCAAGTCCAAAATCAAATGCCTTTAAGAACGTTGCAATGGGAAGGGTGCGACTTTAACTCCAGCAAATCCAAACGTTATTTTTACAAATAACCAGAACATCAGTTTCAATAACCACGACGTCTCTTTAACTGAATACTTGTCGAAGAGTCTTGAAAGTAGTTTGAAGGATTGGAGACATAAAGGATCTTTTTTCGCAAAAAAATATAGGCATCACTTTCATCATTGTCTGATGTGAGAAACACTTTTGTCAGGATCGGTGGCTGCTTTAGTACTGACTGTGAAATAGGAATTTCAGTGCATTCAATTGAAAAAGTAACTCGTAATTTTCTTGTTCGTCTTTTTCCTAAAGCTAACCTTTGTAAACTTCGAACAACTCTTTTGGTGAAGTAGTTCGTTTCCTGAGTATCTACATCAAGTTGTCCTGAGATTTCCCTTAGGTGAATGCACCACGACGATGCAATGACAATGGCAGCATTTCCTCTGCCCTTTCGGTAAGAAAGATTGTCCACAACTATAGAATACATTAAAACGCATTGACCCGCTATAAGTAAGGCCAATCTTTTAAAGGACACATAGTGCGTTGTTTGCTAAAGGAGGCGGTCAAGCTATCGTCGAATAGTTGTAAAAAGACAGCACCCGTGTCAGTGCATTGATATCCTTTAAAGCTGTCATCACTGTATCAATTATTTTTGATAAGAAGTATTTCATGCACAGACACGAATAGGTTCAATTTTTCCTTAAAATATAGCATCACCTCCAAATTCTCCTTGCTGGTAAAAAAATCCTCAGTTAATACGGTAACAACATTTTCTCTGCTGCCAACCAACCAACCAAATGGAATCGTAGCACAGAAAAAATTCTGACCATTATTGTCTGGCATTGGAAATAAAACATGCTCTAATGAGGCTTGGGCATAACATTTAGCCAGTTTTTGGGAACAAATGTCATGCCATATGCAGAGCAACGTGGACAGCAAAATGCGTGGAGAAATTTATAATGTCAAACGCACCTACAACGCAAAATAAATGTTTCGCAGCAATGTTTCACGAAAAATGCAGGTATTGTGCCGAGAAGTTAAAACTGCACATTACTCGAGATCAGATCGTTTTCTCAGATTGCACCCAAGGTGGTCTGTCAATCGCCTTTTGAATAAGTTGAAGTAGAAACAAACACGAATGATGGTCTTAACCAGGTTAGTTGAAGGAGGCGCCGGAGTATATCTAAATGATGCGTTTCACCAACGCACAGCAATATAAACTCTTTGAATTATAACATTTGATCTACATTCCAACAATGAGGTAAGTGGGATTGCGCCCAAAAGCGAACCTGTAAAAATTCTTGCGTACCATCACACACAAACTCGCTATTCAATGAATTAGACACTTTCTCGAGAGTAACTTTAGATTTTACAGCGAAGTTGTACTGGGAAAAAATTGGTCGAGACAATTTGCCATAACCATTTCAATTTCACCCTTGCAAACTAATGTACCGCCTTTTAATCAAACGGATTGGATATGTACGATGAGTGTGATGTTGAAAGTGAAGATTTACTGTTCCTAGAATGTAAATAATTTACATTGGAGTAGTGAAAAGCTTCAACATGACGTAGGTTGAGCCCTAAGTGCATAATAGTACAATACGCAGCATACCACACCATCTCAGCAGCATCTGGAGAGAACACATGTATCTAGGATACTTGAAAAAGGGAGAATGTCGCACTACAAACTACAGCTCCTTCCCTTCAACAAAGCTCATTTCTCCCCCAAATTGTGGCTATGGCTTAACATTTCCTCCACAGAAGATAAGAAATGCCTCAAACTGTGTGTGTGCAACAAATTTGGACTCTCAAGCATAATCCCGTCCTTCGTACACGATAACGCCGTTTGTTTAGCTTTCGAACCCAAACACAAAATTGCGTGCTACTGCAGAGATGAATTTTTCCTCCAAATAATAGCTTTTCATCCGCATGCCAAAGTGATAATTTATGAAGAATAGACACGACCAATTGCTAGCGTTGTTCAAACTTGTTTTTTTTCTTTTCGAACCTTCTAAACACAACATGCATCAAGAAAAGGAAATCTTTTCCATCTCACGGATGATCTGTTCAATAGTGGCTCACCGTACACCTGCGCTCCAAGTAGACCGATGTGGGAGGGAAGAACGATAATAAGTGAGCATCAAAAGATGCGCAAATACGCAAGTGCGAGCGCAAAATTAAGCCTCAAAGTGTGGAAAGAACTGACGCAATTGAGAAGTAGGTAGTGGAGACAAGTGCGCTCTTTGTGGGTTGGACGGCTTTGCCTTTGGTGAAGTCCTTGCACAGTGCAGTTCCAAGTTTAGCCGCTCTGGGGCTGCATGAATAGCCGGATGGGGTGAACAAAGGTCGAGTTGAGAAAACCGTTAACAGTGCAAACAGTGTGCATGAAATTTCCAATCCTATCGAGTAGTCATTAGTATCAATCGGTAGACATACGAGTTGTTCTGCACTCCTTACTCTCCGTCATCTCAAGTGAAGATTTTGCTGAAAGCGCGTTGTAACTTAAAGATTGTGTGTTACATTCGAGTGAATCACACCGTGAGGGGAGAAGCGAACAACTCTCACTCCGCAACCTTTCTGCAGACTCGTGGTAGCATTAGTAACGTCGAGATTTTGAGAGGAGATGCAATGAGACGGACAAGGGGCTACGCTCGCCGCCAGCGCTGCTCATATTACTCACCGATTTCCTCAGTTGAGCCACACGTACAGGAGAGCTGGCGACGAATCGCATCCAGTAGTGGGGTAAGCTCGCCTGAGAGTCACCGGTTACGACTAATTTTTTGACCAAAACAACTATGGATGAGGAGCGCTTGCTATAAACTACGCTAGCTTGGAAGCTGAAGGCAATACATTCAAAATCCTCAGATCACTTTCAAGACCAAGACGGATGCCATCGCATTTAATTCTTTACAGAAATAAAACCTACAAAATGCACCGAAATTCAACAAGAATAGTTTGGAGGAGATTGGAATGGTTCAAAAATTCGTGCTAAGTTCCGAAACTTCACACAGGTTAAAATGATGGCAACTTCAACCAAGATGTGTTTGGGTGCCTCATAATCAGCGTCCAACGTGTTTGAAGGCCCTGCATGCCAATGAGGTTGTAAATGACGTATGATGCCACACGTTTCCTTAGCAAGCAAAAGGAATTCAAGGCGTGGCATTCCTTGCAAAAAAATACGACAGTTACAGATTCTAGACACTGGTGTGATGTGCGAGCTCAGTAGATGTCCGCTAAGCAGAGCCCTGAAAATGGTTAATCTGCCAGTTGCATGCCCTGCTTTACTTATCACCTCCTTGTGAAAGTTGGATTTTCACCGAGATGCATAACTAGAGAGAGGTAAACAAAAGAGCTTTTCAAGACATCCAAATCACCTTTTTAAAATTACGGTCTCATACATTCGTCTGGTAGTAAACTTGTGTTCACTTTCCCCTCCCATTTTTAACATACCGAAACTACGAATGCTTGTGCTTAGTGAAGAGTACAGCTACGTCGTGGAAAATGAGCGCCATGACAGCACGTTCTCGCAAAGCTACGATTAATTATCATTGATGAGCCGTGTGACTTTTGCATGGCCAGAACAAGCGACTGGCGACCAGTGACGAGAGCTGCCTTCGAAAGACGTGTAGGCGAGGTAGTCGCCCGAAGTACGTCATTTAAACGCATTCATGCAGATAGCTTCACTAGGAATGACAAACGATGATGGGAGAAATTCTTACCAAACTTAGTGGGCAAAGCTTGTTTTGTTCGCCAATGTAAAATTGGGAATTGTAAAACAGGAGAAATTTCGCAACGTTTTACCAGTCACTCCCAAATTCCAAGTGTAAGTGGGCACTTCCTTCAGAGGCTCTACATATTGGTCGACAATGAGGTGGTCACAGTTTAACAAACGGAGCTTGTTGAAAACGGTGCAACAGGATCATGATCCAGCAAGGTTGACCTTTTACCACAATAATAAGAGCTGACAAAAAGATGGACAGTGTAAAAGAAGAAGAAAAGTTGGAAAATCCTACAAAAGGCCTTATACGAAGTGAATTACAAAGAGCAACTCTTCTGACCCTAAGAGGTGTCGAATGAAGCCTCTTTGCAAATGACGTCTCTAGGTTAGTTTCAACTCCCGTAGATATTGTTGCAACAATGATTAACGAGGCACAGAGTAGCACAACGCAAAGACCATGTCTAAGTCTTCATTTGACTATTCTCCTAGTCAAGGGAAAAGTGTTTTCAAAAAGACGGGTCGAGGCGGCAAAAAGGAAACTCGAGTTTCAAGGGGGAGGGGTGGTGAGTGTCTGCGCAATAACTCCCCTACTGACCTAATTTTTATCACTCTCTAACCTCAACATACTCTGAGGGCGTGTTTACGTTCGTTTTAATGACATGGTGATGCGACTGGGTCACTGAAATAGCGAAGTAACCTCAACCCAGCGCCACCGTTACTGCTATCAATGTAAATAGTGACTCAGCTTTACTCGACAGACCTCATCACTGCAAATAGATGATATTATGACTCGCAACCCCACTTAGGGTGTGTATCTACTATTTTAAGTGCATATTCACGGCTCATAGGTAGTGGAAGAAATGAGGACGTCGAATTCCCCGTTATGTCAAAGGGTAGTGTTTGCAACAGCACTGTAATTATGGGGAGGTGTTTGAAAACCCACCCACTTCATATGGTGAGCAGAAATGCCCGAACATAGTGTAGAAGGTAATTCTGGTGCGGACAAAAGCAATGCCGTAAGTCAGCTTCCTGATCACGATCAGTGGGATTCATCTCTACACTCAACTCAGAATATCAAACCACACGAAGTTGACGCCCAAGAGAGGTTTGTGCAAAGATGGAGGAGTAGCGAAAGTCAAGCGAATACGAGTGACCCAGCCACGTTTTCACGCATTCTTAAATGCCATTAGTAATGCAACAACGCCAAAAGGCAGCGCATCCAAACGACACTTTCGGTCTAGCAAGTAGGCATCATCAGCCTCATTACGATAAGTGACTCAGTTTGGGTTTGAACAAGCATGAAACAATGAGTTTCTTTGGATGCGTAAATTCTGGAAGGAAGGGAGACAAGCCAAGAGTGGTAGACACACCCCACCACGAGGCGTAAAAACTAAAGTCCTTTGAACAGGCACCACAGCACCACACAAACTCATTAGCCATTCGTCGAGTGCCGTCCGCGCGCAAAACTGTTGCAGAAGTCAACAAAGAAATGCTGAAGCAAAAACAAACACAGCTTCATAAGAGACAGTGTTGAAGACGCAAAACACCGCATTCTGCAAATCATACTGTAAAAAAGGGACGGTTTTGAAACGCGAAATCCAGCACAATCCAGTAAGTGAATGAGTATACTTTGTTAATAAAAAGCAACCTAACAAAAATAAAGGCAATTATTTAACAGAATTAGTTAAAATTAACAACAAGAACAATTTCCTGGTGCACTGTCACAATAAACAGCCATTCGAGCAGAAGGCAACAGAGTGAACTCCAAG